CAGGGTTGTTGTAAAGAAAAGTAGGAGGAGTACTAGCTATATTTGCTGCCTTGAATTAAGCATAAATGCAGAATAAATAAATCTTTCTTTCTTTCTTTCTTTCTTTCTTTCTTTCTTTCTTTCTTTCTTTCTTTCTTTCTGTCTGTCTGTCTGTCTGTCTTTCTTTCTTTCTTTCTGTCTTTCTTTCTTTCTTTCTTTCTTTCTGTCACCTTAGATCATAAAGTTGAAAGCCGAAGCTCGCCTCGACCTCCTGAAGCAGATCGGCGTTTCGGTGGACACTTGGCTGAAAAGTGCAATGAATCAAGTGATGGAGGAACTGGAGAACGAGCGGTGGGCCAACCTCCCGGCCATGGCCAGTAACGGCTCTTCCCACTTGGTAAGTTTCGGCATCGCTTCCCGTCCCCTTCGCTGTCTCCAAAGCGCCTGTTTCCCTAGTCCCCGCCGGCTAACCTTTATCAACCAGGTTTAAATGGTGTTTTCAGAAACCATCCCTTATATCTCCTGCTGAATCCTTGTTTTTTTTTTAAAAAAAAAAAAAGGGTTCTGGGCAGAACTAATGGCCTTTGATTTATGACCGTTCACTTAGTGACTGTTTGAAATTACAGCGGACCCCAAAAAACGGACGACCCACTTTCTCCCCACCACCCTATGGTCATGTGACTATATTATGGACACTCGGGAGTTAGGCCTCTTCTTCCATACCACAAAGCCCATTCAGTTCTAGCACTGATGATGTTACCTAGTTGGGTCATGAAATGTCTCCAAGAAAACAACCTAGCTCAGAAAGCAACAAGGACTCCATAGTTCTCCTCCTCCTCCTCCTCCTCTTCCTCTTCCTCCAACCCCGCTTCCTTCTAGCACTGATGATGCTACCTAGTTGGGTAATGAAACGTCTGCAAGAAAATCCCCAAGCTCAGAGAACAACCAAGGACCCCACAGTCCTCCTTCCTCCTCCTCTCCTTTCCTCCTCTTCCCATGCTCCTCCTCCTCTCCCTCTTCTTCTCTTCCTCCTCCTCCTCCAACCCCACTTCCTTCTAGCACTGATGATATTACCTAGTTGGGTAATGAAATGTCTGCAAGAAAATCCCTAAGCTCAGAGAGCAACCAAGGACCCTACAGTCCTCCTTCCTCCTCCTCCTCTCCTTTCCTCCTCTTCCCATGCTCCTCCTCCTCTCCCTCTTCTTCTCTTCCTCCTCCTCCTCCTCCTCCTCCAACCCCACTTCCTTCTACCACTGATGATGCTACCTAGTTGGGTCATGAAACGTCTGCAAGAAAATCCCTAAGCTCAGAGAGCAACCAAGGACCCCACAATCCTCCTTCCTCCTCCTCCTCTCCTTTCCTCCTCTTCCCATGCTCCTCCTCCTCTCCCTCTTCTTCTCTTCCTCCTCCTCCTCCTTCCTCCTCCAACCCCACTTCCTTCTAGCACTGATGATATTACCTAGTTGGGTCATGAAACGTCTGCAAGAAAATCCCTAAGCCCAGAGAGCAACCAAGGACCCCCACTGTCCCCCTCTGAGCTAGAGAGATTCTCTTCTATTGGAAGTTACAATCAAAAGTGGCCTTTTCGATCTGGTGGGGTTCCAGACGGAGGGATCCCTGGGCCACCGGGTGCATCCAAGTGCGCGCGGTTCAGACAACGACCTGAATGCGGACGCTCCCTCCCTCCCTCCCTCCCTCCCAGGAGGACACGGTGTCCATGCGGACGGGGACGAAGAAGAAACACAGAAGCCCAAGAGTGGCATCTCTGGGGCTGAGAATCCGAGGAAGCGTGTGTGAGAGCCTTCGGGGGGGCCCTTAGCGCCAAGGTGCCAGCGGAGAGAATGACACCCGCTCCTTCCTCCCCCTCCCCCCCCCGTCCCCTCCTTCCTTTTTGGCTCCCGGCCTCAGTTTCCTTTTGCGAAAGCTGGATTTTTTCCCAACTTTCCTCCTCGGCCTGAATTTCTAATGAAATTGGCCGGCTCAGGGGACGAGAGAGGATTCAAAACTTCCCTTCCCTGTTTTTCTACAGCCTTCGACGTAAAAAAAAAAGTTGGCTTTCTTAGTTATTTTTTAAAAAACTTAAGTTATTTTTTTAAAAAAATAATAATAATATCCAAGAAAGCCAACCCTTTTTATGTCGAAGGCTGTAGAACGGGGAAATATTTTTTGGGGAAAAAAAGTAAAATCCCAACATTGGAAGAGAAAGGAAAAAAAATACCCTGTTTCTTCGCTTTTATATTCTCGTCTACGTTCGCTGTGCCCCTGTTCCCTTCTCTTTTCTTGGCTATCCTAAATGTCTTGCCCTGTTTTATTTTAAAACGAGCTTCGCTACGACACTATGTGGTTCGGGCTTAGTTTTTGGGGAGGAAAACAAGGGGGAAAAAAATTCTGCCTCTGCCTACCAGCATCCATGGGTATTCATCTGGCTAGCGTCCTGTCAGTGCGTGAGAGAGTTGAGGGCTTTTCGGAAACTGAAAGGGTATTTGCTGCGTGAGCAAGGAGGAGACAGCAAGGAGCCTGGGCGTGGCTTAGCTCAACTGTTCTGTACCAAAGTTGCTTGTGTTTTGCATTTGGAAGAGATTTCTTTTCAGGTGGGGAGGGGGAGTAGAACTCCTTAGCATCAGAGGATGATAATAATAATAATAATAAATTAATAAATTAATAAATAATAATAATAATAATAATAATAATAATAATAATAATAATATAGAAAATATTCTAAATGCTCTGATGGTCATTTGGAAAAATCCTTTCTTAGTGAGCATCTAGAAGCCAAGAGGAACCTACGGGCCAGATTTCAAGTTTGTAGGCTTTACGGTTCTGGAGATTTTGTGTTGATGCCTGAGGGGTCTTTCGTTTTTATACATATATAGATACAGGAAGTCCTCGACTTAGAACAGTTCTCTTAGTGACTATTCAAAGTTACAGCAGCACTGGAAAAAAGGGACTCAGGGCCGTTTTTTTCACACGACCGTTGCAGCCTCCCCAAAGTCACATGATCAATATTCAGCCGCTTGTTCAACCGACTCACGTTTACGACAACCGCTGTGTCCTGGGGGGGGGTCACGTGATCCCCTTTTGTGGCCTTATCGACGGGGGAAACCAGATTCACTTAACGACTGCGTTGATAACTGAACTCCAGTAGGTGATTCACACTTAACCACGGAGGCGAGAAAGATTGTCAAATGGGGGCAGAGCTCACTGAACCGCTGTCTTGCTTAACAGGAAAACATTTTGGGCTCCATTGGTGGTCGTAAGTGGAGGACCTCCTGTATAGTTTTTGCAATACGCCTCCTGGCTGGAAATGAAATGGGAAGCTGCCCTTGACTGTTTGCATCGAACGGCTGCTAAAAGCGGGTTTTGGGGTGAAGAAACCTCATCAAATCCCTTGACGTAGCCGTGTTTATCTTTGTGGGCTGCTTTTGGGTTTCCTGAAAAATAACCAGCTTTGGTGGGGGGGGCAGGGGGGGGTGCTGACCCCCCCCGTACCCCCAACGGATCGACCCGTGATCCTCTGGATTGGAAGATCTCTCAGGGCAAACGCCAGGGATCCTGCTCACGAGGCACGCGTTGTGTTTGTTCTTAGCAACTCCGGCCCAACCGGAAGATCTGTGCATCGGAGAGCAAAGCTCCTTTAAAGAAACGAGAGATAATTCAGGCGAATTAAAGGCTCACCTGTCTTGAGATCCCTGAGGATCTGTCGGCCCGGTTTGCAACTCACACAGGCAGGCGGCTGGGATTCCATTAAATGAAAAGAGCCAAGTCCAACTCGGGTGCTTTCTGAACAGTGCCGGACACTTATACGCGCTCGGGCAAAAGGCTCCAAAGTCTGCATTCATTCGAACTTCATAACAACCACAAATAACCATGAAGTGGCTGCCTGCTAACTTCTCCCTATTCACGCAGGTCTGCCTGGACTTCAGGCTGTGATAGGAATGGGCAGTTTTGATGATTGACAGACAGACAGACAGACGAGAGAGAGAAATAGACAGAGAGAGAGAGAGAGAGAGAGAGAGAGAGAGAGAGAGAGAGAGAGAGAGAGAGAAATAGACAGAGAGAGAGAGAGAGAGAAATAGACAGACAGAGAGAGATAATAAAGGGATGGGATGGGATGGGATGGGAAGGAAGGGAAGGGAAGGGAAGGAGGAAGGGAAAGGAGAGAGAGAGATAATAAAGTGATGGGAAGAAAGGGAAAGGAAGAAGGGAAGGGAAGGAGGAAGGGAAAAAAGGAAGAAAAGGAAGGATGGAAGATCCGAGAGAAAAATAGATAAGCAGAATAGAGAGAGAGAGATGGTAGAGAAATGGCTGGCTGGCTGGCTACTGAGTGGATGAATAGGTAGATGGATGGAGAGATGGAGAGATAGATTATAGGAATATAGATAGATAGATAGATAGATAGATAGATAGATAGATAGATAGATAGATAGATAGATAGATGTGATAGAGATGATTATGATGATAGATAGATATAGACAGACACAGATAGATAGATGATTGAGAGGATGATAGAATAAATAGATATAGATAGATTGAGAGATGATGATATATGATAAGAGATAGATTATAAAATAGATGATATAAGATCCTCATTCATTCTCATTTCCTTCGTATCAATCATTCAGTCAATGGGGGGATACAAATTGGAAGGGTGGGTGGATAAGATGGATAGATAGATAGGTATGGAGATAGATAGATAGATAGATAGATAGATAGATAGATAGATAGATAGATAG